TTTATTGGCTGTAAAAAACTAGCTTGATAAATCTATAGCGAACAAAGTTTTTCAGTTGCTGTCTTCAAAACTTGACTTAGTAAGTTGTGCTTAAGGTTGCTCGCCTGGTTTTGTTTGTGGCGTACCTTCGAAGTTTGAAGGGGAAATGCGTCGCTGCCAATAAGTTAATTTCAAATAAAATATTATGACATGTCTAGAGACATGTCTATGATATGCAATTTATCGCGATCGGAGTTACCATAGCAATACAGTGACGTCATGTCATATTGTTTATACATTCTATTTTTGGCGAAATCAGACGTTTGTTTTAAAAATTGTTTAACAGATCTTAAAGTTCATATGTTTGTCTTCAAGTTAACGAAGTTTCGAAGATTTGTATGGAAGCGTTTCGAAATAATTGCCGTAGGGGAAACAAAAATGTAAGCAATCCAAAGCAATTAGTTCATGTGACCGAAATCTTTTCTTTCTGGACATGGGAAAAGCTTTTTTGGGGGTCATAGTGTATATCATATAAAACTTGAATCTATCTCTAGGCATGTCATAATGATTTATTTGAAATTAACTTATTGGCAGCGACGCATTCCCCCTTCAAACTTCGAAGGTACGCCACAAACAAAACCCAGTCGAGCCACCTTAAGTCACTTTTCAGTGGCCGTCTGTCATAACATATCATTCTGTAGGCGTCACCTGTTGCATGAAGGCAAAATATTTGATCAAATATGGTCATATACAATGCTAAAAATCGGTATTATTCAGTATGGCAAAGAATAGCAAAGAATAAATAGTAAGTGGACTGAGGCGTCATCGCAATTGCATCAGTAACTTGTCCTGAACACCAATGAATCTAAATGTTATTACAGAATTATTGAATGTGTGATTGGTGCAGCCAGCCAACGCTTTAACCACGACCTCCCGCTGACAGACCGACGCTATTACCAACTGAGCTAACCGTATGACGATTATACGCGGATAAACTCGAAATATTTCCAAATTCAAGAATGTTTGAGTCCAAGATTTTTAATTTGATAAATAAAGAAGATGTTTTGGAAGACGAAATGAGGCTCCACAGTCAGTGATTTTATTCAAAATATGTTTGACAGTGTTCTAATAATAAAAAATAGTGCCGAGGTTTGCTCAGTATTATTACTGGAATGTCAGTTTGGAATGAAAAGGACCAATCCCCATTTGAGATATGGTTTGACGACCTGCTAGACAAAATATTTTCAGTTCGCTAGTTCCCACCTCGGAGCGTAGGAGTAGAGTTATATCTTCGTTGTACTTCATACTCGACAAAATTTTCCAAACAGATAACTGAGTATTAGTAAGGTCTAACAGAAGTCTTCGTCATGGAAGTTGAAGAAGGAACGGCTAAGGGAGCAGGGATATGTGGTATCATCTTGGTGTTTTGTGGTGTCGCGAGCACGATTTCAGGATTCGTTTGGGTCTCAATTCATGGTTTCGGAGGCTATGGCATATGGTCTGGCATCGGTGTAAGTATGAGCTCCAGGTTCTTTACTTTCAACTTTTTCATCTAATGACAACACAACACAACACAACAC